CCATACACTTATATCCAATTGTTGTATGGTCTCAAGCTTACCTCGCAGATCAGCTGCATGTCACCGTACTCAATACCGTTGTGGACCATCTTGACGAAGTGACCAGCGCCCTCGTCACCAACCCAGTCGCAGCAGGCCTCGCCGTCGCTCTTGGCGGAGATGCTCTGGAAGACGTCCTTGATGTAGGGCCAGGCCTCCTCGTTACCACCGGGCATGAGGGAGGGGCCGTAACGGGCACCCTCCTCACCACCGGAGACACCGCTGCCGACAAAGCGGATGCCCTTCTCGGCGAGGTACTTGGTACGGCGGTTGCTGTCGGGGAAGTGGGAGTTACCACCGTCGATGATGATATCACCCTTCTCAAGGTGGGGCAGGAGAGACTCGATGAACTGGTCAACGGGCTTTCCAGCCATGACCAGGAGCATGATACGACGGGGGCGCTTCAGCTTGGCGCAGAACTCCTCAACGGAGTGAGCACCGACGATGGGCTTGCCTGATAAACCGAACCGTTAGTCAATCCGAGGGCTGAGGTGGATCCTGGCAGAGAGAGCTTACCCTTGGCCTCATTCTCAAGGAAGCGGTCAACCTTGGAGGTTGTGCGGTTGTAGGCGCAAACAGTGAAGCCGTGGTCAGCAGCGTTAAGGATCAGGTTCTGACCCATAACGGCCAGACCGATGAGACCGAAATCAGCACTAGGCAAAGGACGCGCCGGAGCGCCGACATTGATGCCGGCGAGACGGGCGCTAAAGTCAGTTGCCAAATCCTCTGTCAATAGCTGGGCAGAAATGTGACAAGTGGGGGGTGAAGAGTGAAGCTGCGTTGCCTCTAACGCTACTATGACGTCGAGACGCAAACCCCACGAAGCGGGCGATCCATTGCACCATCACCACTAATCAATGGAAGATGGATCCTGGAAGCCATATGGCATAGAAGCAGTCTTTTTATTCCCAGCTGACTCACGAACAGCTGGATCTCTCCCGGCTCATACATTGATGCGTCGGAGGGGTACCAAGCTGTGGGGGAAAGCAGATGATTGAGGGACATGTAGGCTTGTGAAGGGGATAGGGGAAGGGAAGAGAGAGCAATGGTAGCCGCAGGGTACTTACACAGCTTGGTCAGCCATGATGAAATAGTGGGGGGTATGAGATTCTGGAGATGGAGATATGGGAAGAGGTGGAAGAGTAGAGGAGAGGGGGAGGTGGTGGATATATGTACAGTCAGGAAGAACTAACTGCCTAGAGGAAGATGGAGAAAAGGAGGAAGGTTTTAGTTTGGAGGGGAAGGAAGGGAAAGAGAGGAAGAGGAAGAGAAGCGAGCGAAAGGGAGAAGGCGTTCGAAGATGTCAGAGCAGGATTCGCTGCAACTGGACGGCTTACGGAGCAGCTCTTCCGTCATGGTGGGACGGAGGGCGGGGCAGCACCTGAACAAGAGAGGAGCAGAGTCCTCCGGTGAACAAGACTTAGTAGTAGTAAAGTAAGTACACCGGTGGGAGAGGGAGTTTGGTACCGGAACATACATGGAAGCCCGCGGATAGATGGTTGTTGGTGAGTAATAATTGTTATGTTAATTAATAGCATGGTAAGTAGTAGGAGAATCTAGTAGTGATGGCTGTTCTTTCTTTGAAATTAAATCTGGTTTGGGTAATACAACAAGCATGCATACTACTACTATTATCTACTGCTATGAAAACCCCCCCACCATTTTCACTGTTATCCTCGTAAAATACGACCTCTACATTATTCCTTCTCCCAGATTGAGGATTTTAGTTTCACCAATTCCTTATTGATGACAGACACTAAATTACTCGACTCCAATCGCCAATTGATTCCCTGGGGATGACATGTTCGGAGATGACGGTGTTGCCAGGAGCTTCAAACATGGCGGGGCATGGAGGGGCACTTGCCGGCCGCAGCAAAATACGCCCGTAACGCAGGTAAAAAAGCCCGCGTTTCCTAATTCCTACATCGGCCCAGCAACAGTCAAAAAAGGGACCGAAATTCCCAGACTTCCCAGAACACGTTCGGTGAAGCACCTTCGGAGGCGGATAAATCGGTCTCCCCTCCACTTTTCCGCATCTTGTCTAACTACGAACAGTAATTCACTGTTACTGTTGGTTCAGACAGTGGTTCCTCCATCACCTCATTCCAGTGTATCAATAATGCCTATTTATCGGGTACGGCATCGGACTTCCTCCTGTATGTAGTGTGTCAATTGTCATAGTATGTTCTGCTTTTCAATGGCCCTTCGGTATCCCAGCAATCGGAATTTGTTGGGTATCTAGACCCCCGCGGAGGAGAAAATCCATAAGCCGGAGAAACTGGCCGCTATTTCCGGGGACTTCTTATCTTCATCCCGCACTGGTCATTTCTCTTCTCGTGATGGAATTGGCACGATGTCCTCCTATAGGGACGATCCTCCCCCCGGCGGTCGGCTACTGCATTTCCCAAAGGGGCTTAGGGTGGGGGTTGCATCACATGTGGGAAATCCGTTGGGGGCTCAAAGTCGTGCTTGGCTGGCTGACTCAGGAGGTCAGCCTGGCCGGCCAACTGTTTTCACGTGATTTTTATTGGTTCAAATCACGTGGTATTGGCAATGCCCGGTTTGCATCGAACGGGAGGCGAGAAAAACCATTCATGCTGTCTTTTCTCTCCTGCCGCGCTGGACTTCATCCGTCATCTGGGCCATCAAACTTGTCAACCCGAACCTTCCAACAGCACACGGTTCGCAATTACCGATACACCACACATTTGATTATCGAAACCGCCGTCGCCTCTTCACGCTCTACAGCAAGGAATTGTTAGATATTCCACCACCACTTCCCCTCCTGTCTACTCACCTGTCTCTGTACTAGTGCAAGGAAAGATCTAGAAAGGCTCATCACTAGTCCTTCTCTCCATCAAGATTCGGAACCTTTTTCAGGCGTGACGTCTGGCGTATGACTGCTGCGTCAGTCAAACCCTGAAGGTACGTGTCTGCTGCTAGTTTGCACACGGCGCATCGCATCATCCACCACCTTTCTCTCTATACTATATATCGGACTCTCCGTTCATCATGTCCTTTCCGCCACCTCCAGGTCTCAGACAAGCCCCGTCATCTCTCCCTCCCCGGCCGCCGGCAACAGCAAGCGCCGCCTCACCATCTACCTTTCAACCTGCATATTCGGCGGCACCGTCAGGCGCAAACAGCAGCTATGGCGGAAACGGGTCTCGACCGGGCTACAGCGCCATCACAGCATTTCAGCCTCGCTCGGTAGCTTCTAGTCAATCTTACCGTACCAGCAGCCCCGTCGTGTCCGCTCCGCCCACTACATCTAGTGGATACTCGACACCGACCACGGGCAGTTACGGTGGCTACTACCCTCAGGCGCAAGCGTCATATCAAAGCGGCCCTTCTTACTACGGGGCCGCCCAGTACAATGATAACACATACGGTCCGTCTGTACCTCGAATTCAAAACCCCTTCACGCCAGCAGGGGGCGATCAGTCAGGCGCCTATGGCATGCGTGGGAGGAACTTTGGCCGGAATGAATCGGGGCTGGACCCTGAAACGGAAGCCCAGATTGCACAGTGGCAGAGTGCCTACGTAAACAAGGAGGAGATGCCCGTAGCCGGCAAGGTTCCTGGTCGCCCGGGTGTTAACCCGGGTGTTGCTGGTCCCGCGTCTGGTGCCAACACCCCGTCCGGTTCCAATACAGCGGCTAACACGCCAGCACCCACCGTGGGTAACCCGGAGCCTGCACCGAAGACTGTGGTCCGTGCCGGAGGTGGTCAGACCTGGTCCGATTCGACCCTCCTCGAGTGGGATCCCGCACACTTTCGCTTGTTTGTAGGCAACCTGGCTGGTGAGGTCACGGACGATTCGCTACTCAAGGCATTCTCCAAGTACACCTCCGTTCAAAAGGCCCGAGTAATCCGCGACAAACGTACCCAGAAGAGTAAGGGTTATGGATTCGTCAGTTTCAGCGACGGCGACGACTATTTCAAGGCCGCGAGAGAGATGCAGGGCAAGTACATTGGCTCGCATCCGGTTCTGCTCCGACGAGCCACCACGGAGGTCCGTCCCGTGTCCAACACGAAAAATGGGAAGAAGCATGGTGGTGGCGGCGGTTCGAGTGGTGGCTCCGGCAGTGGTAAGGTCAAGCATGATGGCGTCAAAAAGCATGGAAAGACCAAGGGAGGACTCAAGATTATCGGATGAAGGAGTCATGTTGGATATTTCAAAAACTTAGTGTGTATCGGATAAACAATAATGCATAAAGCTAAGCAGAAAAATTTCTATCGGCATAAAGGACGCCTACAATGTTCAAATAAATGGTGAGCAGCGAGATGATACCGAGGCCTCGGGAAAAAATTATTTATATAGACAAGTGTCCCAGGGTCATTATACGCAGTACAACAGCAATATATAGTATCGGCTACAGCAGTCACGGAATGGAAAACGAAATACTACTACTGCCGCGGGAACTCGAAATTCAGTCTCAACGTAATTAGTATAAAATTTGTACATGATGTTCTACCTGCCATGGGGACAGTATACCTCCAGCGGATATCGAAAACTACTATATTATGCTTTCTTGGATTGTGGCGGTGACTCGCTCTAATTTTTGGCATCCAAACGACTCCCGATATAACTAACTACCAATTAGCTACTACCACTTTTTTATAACGGTCACGGTATCCCCCCTTCCCCGTTTAGGCAAGTCTCACTATATACTATACTTTTCGCACTTAAAAGAATTCGGTTCGTTCAGGCCGCTGCAATTGCCTGCTTATCATCTCTCAAGTCCGGGCATGAAGAGCTGCTTCTGCACTGTGTGTTGGGACACGTTTAATCGGCTAAAGTCCTTACTGGAGTAAAACTACAGTACCGGTTCAATTGATTACCCTAGGCACTACTTCTGGGAGGACTTTACTTGAACAATTACACCGCATTGGTATATACTGCTAAACAGATAATAATAGGCTTTTCCGGACAATCCTCCTACATTGTTTTGTAGCGAGGTCGATATCTAAGGATCTCAAGAGCGTGTTTATTGTACCTTCCTGCTACCCATTCAGACCTCCTCCAACCTTGACATGCAAAATACCTCATCAGAAAAGAAACCACCTGTCAAACTCCGCCTGACAGAAAGTCATTGTCTCCTCAACAAGTCCGTCGCATGGCTTACTATCCGAAAAGAGGTCTATAATCTATTTCCTCCGCCTTCAATCCCTGCAGCTATCCCAATCAGAACATCATCAAAACAACCAGTCCAATGAACCAGGACTTCTGAATAGACCGCCATCGGATCTGCCCAAGACAGTTATGATAGCTCCATTGGCTACAACGATCAAAGAGGCCCATGCTCTTGTCAGGATGACGTTTGCACGACGATTGTCAGCGGCAAAGCCCAATTCGGACTTCGTCCCTGAGTCGACTGCCCAATGCAATGTAACAATATGGCTGCATTGAGTCAACCGTAGCGACTTTACCATGTCCTCCCAAGCTATATTCGGCCTTCCCGATAACTTTACCATTTGGCGGACGTACTCCTTTTTCTGATCTGCATATGTCGTGATAATAGCGACTCTTTTTACTTTCAGTGCACCACACTGACCAGAACTCCACGAGCTCCATAACCACAGAAACATTGGCATTGATCCTGAGCGAGACCGCTCATTGTTCTCTGGTATGTAATAGATTCTGGATCAGTGCTGCCAGACTCGACTTCCATTTTGGACTTGAGACCCATTGTTTCTGATGCTCTGCAGTACTAATACTCACGAGATGAGTATTAGTTAGGACTTTCTTGAATCCTTCCGAACATGCAATTGGCTGGTAGCGTTGATTGTCTATTAACAGGCTTTGATTTATATCTTGCCATATATATTATTACATAGATAGATAGTAGGTGACTATCAGGCCACCCGTAGCTCTTCCATTTTGCGTTTCTTCTCTTCATTAAGAGATGAGCGGTCGTCGTCATTGTCGGACTTCGCGTTCGTTTTGGAGAATATCTCGACCAGGGTTCTGTTAGAACACGTAGCATACGAGGACGGTATAATCGTGCAGCTTATCTGGGGTGTCGCTTGCATTGAGACGGGCAAGGGAGGCCGAGTAAGGAAGGTCGTGGTGGAAGTCGAGTGCACTTCGAAGTTACTGATACCATAGCAGCTTGGTATAGAGTAGGAAAGATGAAAGATTGGAGATGAATAAAAAAAAAACTTTATTATAACTAGCACAAGTCACATCAGACGTGAACGGATCACTTCCTCTCGATTAGGTAGACGCGAGCGCGAATATGCTCACCGGCCTGTGTGCCAGGTTGACAGTGTAGACAGCCTGGTAGTTGAAAAGGATGATTTCAAAACACATCGACATATGTCATATTAGGGCAGCAGGGCACAAGATGAGGGAGACATAGTAGACGATGTTAGTCATACTATCTTTGTTAATGGCGGCTAGAGAGATGTTATAAATGGTGAAAAAGATGAGCTAGCTTCTCACTGATCTTGTGCGCGTCAAGTCGGCCTATAGTAATATTGATAATTATCTTGGTATTCAAAGCAATGACAAACTCGGCGGTGCTAAGCTGTCACACTATTTCCCAGACTACTATTATCGGCGAGCAGGTCTCCTCCGGATAGAAAAACTATTTCTGACTAGGAGCTAATATACGCTGATAGTCTGCCAGGGGAGTAAGAAAAGGGAGGGACCTGGCCAAGCCAGATTCTCGTCGAGGCATAGATGGTCGTATATTGTCCGAGTTCACCGGGACGTCGACAATGCTTTTTCGGTACTCGTTTCCAGGGGGGAGGATGGTGGGCCCCATGTCGTAATAGATGAAAACTCTTGCTGCTGCTTCTCGTTCAGTCTGTGGCTGTGTGACTGGGTAAGATTGCACGACTGAGGAACTCACGCCGTCCCGTCCGTCCAACGCAGTCTGTCAAGGATGACAGAGGCGAGAGAAGGCCAGGAATCGGAAACGATGGAACCTGCTGCTGCATCTCACCCAGTCTGTAAGCCGAGTAGCTGGAGTACCTCTGGTGTGACAGAAGCGAGAGAAGGCCGGGTTCTGAATCGATGGAACCTCCCTCTCTGAGAGTGCGGCATGCCAATCAACATGCGCGGCCATTGTGGCTACGCCTTGGATATCTTTCTTCGCGGCGTCTGCAATAACTGTATCTTCTGGCTCATACATGATACACTTCTTCTTAGGTCATGATATGCTGATACAGGACCTCGCAGTAGACATAATCCATGGGCGGTTTATGCATACCTCCGACGCGGGTGCGACTGAGTTCGAGACCCAGATAGCAATTCAGGGCTTTTTCCATGGTCACCGCGTCTTCTTCCTGGTGATCGAAACTGCTCTGTGCAAACTATTACCAGTAAACCCTGCAAATGTCATATCGACTTCAAAGAAGTTGGCAGGCTTCTAAAAGATCTTTCTCTGGAAGACCGAGCATGTTCTCCAAATTACCTGCTGCTCATAGTTCTCATGAACAGGTGTAGTCAAAACCGGAGTGGATGATGGTTCGGTGCGACTTTATGCTGAGCAGTCTATCGTCTGATAGACTCGTAGTAGAAGTCCCCATGTTTGCTTTGGTGAGAGAGCAATGGGTGCTACTGTGAAAGGTTTTCTTAAGTTGGTGTTGGATGTAAAACCGACAGAAGTGCCAAATGTTATTTAGGAAAGATCCAGCAATATTGATGCTGCTTGTATACTAAATCATAGTATGGTAAGTCATGCTGCTCGGAAGGAAGTAGAGAGAGGGGCATACTTATATGTATAGTAGTAGTGTATAGAATAGAGGGAGGATGAGAAAATGAGATAGAGGAGAGGAAGTCCAGCCATATATATACTAGGGAAGAGAAAGGTATTGAGTGAAGAAAGACCATGAATAGAGACTGGAGAATGGGGAATGGCCCCTATGATTCATCCGGATAGAACAATTAACGTATGTGCAAGAATGATTTCGAATCACCACTAGTAGTGCTTAGTGAAGGTCCAGACTGTAGTATATTCAGGGAATACTGGCATCAGAAGCCGTTCCCAAAGCGTTTTATAAGTGAATCTTCCAGTCACTGCCTGACGGAGCTTGCCAGAAGGAATAGGGAACTGCGAACGGAAGAAACCGAGAATTCTGTAAGGAGGAGGAACTTGCCGGACACATGGACTGCCATCACAGATGCTATATGAGTGGTAGCCCTTCAATATTAACAATTATTACTTATACTATTCTGTGTCTGGATTTAGCCTTCTGCTATGAAGGAAGGAGACGCAATTGTGGAGAACAGCATATATAGTGGCTGACTACTAGTACTAGTATATAACTAGCTAGCAGTAAAAAGCAGAATAATGTATGGCAATTGAAGGGAGCATATACATATACCACAAAACACCAATCCAATCCATCAACCCCGAGAATCAGTAAACAGATGGTCAGATCCCGTCCGACGCAGACAATGAACGCTTTTGACAGCATGTACATATGAAACCAGACACACACAGCGTATAAACAATCAATCAACATGCATATGCAGAAATACTCCGTACCAAGATAAGGGAAAAGAAAACAATCATAACATAAACCCTATGCGTGATACATAAATCCCATAACGGACAACTTCATGTTCCATAAACAATAAATCATGAATAATGCGTAATAGTAATAGCTCAAGAACAATCGCAGTGAGCTAAGCCGTTAAGTCGTCGAATCGATCAGATCAATCCATCGTAGTCTCGTGGTTTTCGTGACAGTAATGCTTCTATGAGCGGAAGAAAGCTGGGTAATTTTCGAATTGAAATTTAGGCCTCAGCTTCACCACCGCTTTCTTCATCAACTGCGCGTTTCCGGGAGTGCGCGATGCGGTTCTTCATCGTGTGAATAAAGTACCCTGCGATGGCGAGGATGATGAATAGGACGATGATGATGACGGCGATGGCGATATTTTCTTGCATTTTGATGATTTCTTCTTATTCTTCTTAACTTTCAAGATCGGAGAATGAAGTAATAGCGGAAAGTCGTAATGCTTCGTTATGAAAAGAGATAGTATCTGTTGTGGTGCTGCTGATGATGGTGGAAATGCAGGTATAGATCCCCAATCACTTTATCGATAAGATGTGGATATGGATAGCCGACCGGAATGTAGATAGTAAACAATGGGTGCGGAATTTCACCCCGACAGAGCTTGTATGTAGAGAGCCCTGAGCAACCCCAATATAAGTAGCACGGGGAATGGAGGGGAAGGGGAAGAATGAAAAACCACGCAGCTCCCGATTATAAAAGGGGAATTGGCGTGGACGTGGACGTGGCCCAGCCATGTTGATTTCTGCTCCCCTGTTGCGGGTGGCTGGGGATAAGAAACGGATCCATGATTGCTGAGCTTATTGGGCGCTAAAAGTGTTAGTGCACGGCTTGGGCGCAGTTGGAGTGATGCTTGCTTGTTCTGCCGTGTGGTGCCGCCTTGGCTGTTAGGAATAGCATCTTCACTATTATTGATCCTGACACGAAGTAATAGAATTGAGTATACCAAGGGGATGGTGACTAAAAAAAAGATATTGATTTGGTTGTCTTTCATTCAAGGCCTAGTTTCGGAAATACCCACTATCTTTACTTACCTGACATTCTTGTTCCACCTACTCAGTGAAAGTAAGCCGAGCCCTGTTTCGCCGTCGACCGGTAGTAGGCGAATCACCGGTAGTTCTTCCTTGGTCAACTAAGATGCTCAGTATATGCTCTCAAATAAACCCACTGGCTTGTCTTTGACCGACCCTGGATGGCTCTATGTCTCTGGCTCCCCTCATTTGACTCATATGCTAGTGGTCATCATCTCACTCAGGAAAACCAGCTTCTTCACAGCTACACGTAGTAGTGTAGGTTACACCAGGAAATGTAATACCAGCGGAGTATCTGATTCACAGATATGCCTTTCCCTAAGGCTCAGACAATTCTTCTCATGTGCCTGTATTCAACTAGGCCGCATACTCCACAGACCTCAAGCTCCAATCCGAAAATAAGCATTCAACGAGGCAAGGCGCCCATACATGCAGCAGAGAAATTACTAAGTACTATGCAATAACGTTAACTAGCACCGAAAAGCAAACATCATGTCTAGTACTAGTATATACCTCCCCTTTGCCCTGAACAACACAACAAGTCAGCCACTGCACCATCCAGACAAGAAACCAACCCTATCTCAGCAGTATTCGTAACAGCAAACACACAGGCATAGCCCTGTTTACCACTCAAGCAATTCCTACTTCCTCGTCTCCACCACCTCCCCAATTATAGCAAAACTCAGCATCTTCCGATCAAAGAACCGCTCCTCATCCTCCGCAATCTGCGCTGCCGCCTCAGGGGCCGTCACCTTCGCCATAAAAGCCTGGAAAGAAGGCTGATCCGCAAAGGTCAACTCAGCCGTCGTATCAAAGTCAAAGTCTGACTGTTGGCCCAGAAGGATAGTCGCTGGGGTTGTGGCGTTGCGGGCCGTCGCCCCATCAGGTGGGGTATCAACGGTTGTGCGAGCTATATAGGTACGGCGGTGCGAGAGGGGGAAGTCTTCGCCGGAGATACGTCTCACGAGGTCGATGTGTGCTTCGTAGCGCTCTCGGAAGGTGGACAGGGAGAGGCCGGGCTTGCGGTAGCCGTAAATGAAGACGCGGACGGTCATTTTTGGTAGGGGAAGATGGTTACTATGGAGGAGGAATTGAAAATGTGAAAGTGGGCTTGGTACGGAGTTGAAGGGTATAGTTTGTGCTTGAGCTTGGGTACATGAGCTGCATTGGAGGTGGGGTTGTCAGGCACGGATTATATCGGAAGTTGGTGCATGCTAAGTGCTGTTTCTTGGATTGGCATAGATGAAGTAGTGCTCATGGTGGGGTTTTTAGGGCAGATGTCTTTGTCTTTTCTTCTTGGTAGGGCTGAGATGGAATAGAGGATTGAATATATTATACTGGATTGTGAGACTGTCATTCGGAAGGATAACAAGTCATGGTGTGCGGAAGGATATCATTGTATAGTGATGGTTAGTGCAAGTAGATGTACATAGATGCGATAACTACAGATGGGGAGGTATACGGGTCTCCGGGAAGGAAACAAGGTCCAAATTATTTAATTTAGGTCAATAAAGTAGCAGAAGATGAAGAGGAGAGGCAAAGAAGCATCTGTGTGTGAAAGAAAACTAAAAAATAAAGAAAAAAAGAATGACCAGTCTGGGGCTCGATCCCAGGACCTTATCGGTGTTAACGATACGTGATAACCAACTACACCAACCAGCCATTGTTGTATTTCTGCAGCAAATTTTGTATTTATGTAGCTATAGCTCATCGTTCACTCTTAAAATACGATAGAAAATAAACGCGCTAACTCAAGGCCACCAATGAAACCTCCCTACTTCGTAGTCACATCAAACAAAGAGCGCCTCATGAATGTCTGTTGTAATTAAAATTGTGATCTGCAGTACCCGCAGCCGCTTACTCCCAACCGGCTTGGTATGCAGTTGGTCTGGGCTGTTCGGAACTTGACATTCCCCATCAACCTCCGGATGTCACGGTCATAACATGGGAATGGCGTCACGACTTCCGCTTGAAGCTGGCATTCCGGGTCGACTGCAGGGGTTGGCTTTGGGATTGTAACAGTCAGGATGACTTAAATAATCGGTATTACGTTGAGGCGAGCAGCTACTTGACCCCTCTCGCTTGCAGGCCAGACGGTTAGATATTTTAAGAACGACGAATATTGGTATCATCGCACATTAACCAGTCATATCACTCTGATGCGCACTACTGTGTACACCAACTGATGGCGCGGAGACCCGACGTTTCAGTGGTTGAACTAGGCGCCAACCCATGAGTTCCCCGGACCCTGGCTTCCGCGCGTCAGGGCTAGCACTAGGTGGACTAGCAACTGGCACTCACAGGAATTTAAGAATTCATAACCGAAATACAATTCTAAAGTGACTCGAAGCCACTTACAAAGAGTCACCAAAGTGTCCAGACAAAAGTCAGGCCAGACAGCTGAGCCCCGCCCGGCGCCGTTCCACTTCTTTAGCCCCAGATCTAGTAGACTAGCCGCCTAGGCTTAGGCAGAGATTCAGGGGAATTGAAAGACTGGGGAGATTGCCTTGTCGCCTTTCACGATCCGGTCGAATTTCATTCTGACCTAGCTAAAAATGTTTCTATTCACATCACAAAAAAGGTTCGGCCGGCTGGTTCTCTATGCGCTGGGGGTGCTCGGGATCATCCTCATTCTATGGCAGTTGCCCTATGCTCGGCCCACCGTGCGGATAGGAGCTAGAAGCGCCCGATCACAGCTCGAGGCAATCAGGAACGAAACTTTGGGGGTAGGTACTTCCAATAAAATTGATATTAGCCCCCACACTGATTATGTATAGGTCCAAAAAATATTCGCGATCAATCTGCCTAGCAGGGTTGACAAGCGCGACAACCTTGTCCTTGGCTCTTCAGTCAGTGGGTTTAACATCGACTGGGTTAACGGTATCACTCCAGACGAGATTGACCCCAGGACATACCCTTATGTGAGTGATTGGCCACTATGCAATGAGATGCATGTCACTGATAATTCAGAATTGGAACTATGATCACAAACCTACCGAGTATGGAGCTCGACGGGCTCATGTGAATGCCATGCAACGGTATGCGATGATCTGCCCCCTTTCTCATATATCTGGCTAACGATGCATTCCAGAATTGTTCATGAAAGATTAGGAAGTGCCATAATCATGGAGGATGATGTCGACTGGGACGTAAACCTCAAGACCCAGCTACAGAGTTTTGCTTTCGGCGTCCGGGCTCTCCAGGATGCGGATAACAAAGTGACCGCTTCACCGTACGGTGACGACTGGGACATCATCTGGCTTGGTCACTGTGGCTTGTCATGTCGAGAGAACGATCCATATTTCGTGAGCTCGAATGACACAACCGTCCTCCCGCCACATCACTTCCTGCCCTACTGGCGCGATCCACCCTCGTTCGGGGTACCAGACTACAGCCGTCTAACCTGCGCCGTCGAAGATGCAGTTTGCTCGATTGTCTATGCTGTGACCTACCATGGTGCTCAGAAAATTCTGTCCGCTCTTTCCGTGAACCCGACAGGCCTCGCCGATAAAATCGACATTGGTGCTCAGTTCGACGTATCGCTCGGTCGCATGTGTGGCAATGGCTATCTCCGGTGCTTTGCGGTCTACCCATCCTTAACAGGTGGCTATCATCCCGCTGGGCCCTCCTCGAAGGAATCTGATATCCATGGCGGGAATGAAGACGTCCATCCCATCTCCAGTCACGGGGTTATGTACAGTACGATGCTGAACATCAACCGCATATTGGCTGGAGAAGATACAGTTGTTTCCAACTGGGACGACGCCCCTGTTCCAGTGATTAATCCGGCGAATGTTTCAATGACTCGGGGATCTATGATCATTTCTGCAGAGGACGACGTGTATAGTCCTTCAATTGTCAACCCGTGATCAGAGGGAAACATATGCCGGCAGTTTCGAAAATCTTGCTCAATAATGTATATAGACTTGCTTTTCTTTAGAGGATACCTACATTAATCACATTTGATCTTTTGTCTATCGACTTTAAGAAACCTCGATTCTCGCGTCAAAGATAACCAAGAATCAACAACACAGGAAAGTACGACCCAGCATCATGTTAATATGTAGCTCTTGCCTAACGAAGAACGCCATAGCCTCTGCTATATAGAAGTAAGAACATAACCTCCAAACTAAACCCATCCACCCCCAACCTAGTATAACAATCATCATTATGGAATTCCACAACAGCGTCCAAACCGGCCTCTCCGTCCGCACCATCTTAGAATACATCCTCCTGGAACTAGACATGCGCACAATCCTTACCTCAGCGTCCCGCGTCAATCGTTTCTGGAACTACACAATCAGTAATTCCCGACCCATCCAACAAGCACTTTTCATACAACCATTTAGACGCCGCAACCACAATTCCTCACAGGGAGTCCTCAACCCTCTACTAGCAGAAGCCTTCCCAGGGATCTTCCAACGGAATAGTACCGTCTTCCCCGAGCACACAGAAAGCAAACTCACCTTCGACACTTTCCACATGGTCAGAGACCCCACCAGGACGGAAATATACATGCGAGAAAACGCAAGTTGGCGTCGGATGCTGGTCCAGCAGCCTCCTGCGCGTGCATTGGGGATTGTTAGCCATATTGCGGATGATTTGGGTTTCCGGGAGAGGTGTGAGATACAGGTTAGTAGTTAGTCAATCTGATCTTTTTTATTGGGTGGGTGGGGATGGGTTTTAATGTGCGTTATGTGTTAGAGAGTGAGCGAAACGGGACCAGAGCCGCCAAATGACGGTGTGCGCATGGAAATGCTTTTCGAAATCCTGGTGTTCCATGGCGAACTCCATGGGTTGATGGATTATGCTACTGTTTACTGGTGGGGTGATCGTTCGGGCTCTTGGGTACTGGAATATATGGAGGGTATGGGCTTGTGTAATGCCTCGACAGCGCCGGATCTGATATTGTATATCCCTCTGTTTTTACCAGGTCGTCGGGATATGAGTTCGGACATGGAGGTTAGTGGTCATACGCCGGCTTTGGATTATCTTCATTCTTTTTATCAAGATAATGGGATCACTCCTAATTTGAATATAAGGGATGGTTGGGAAACCTTTGTTAAGAGACGGAGGAGGAGGTGGGTGTGATGCATGTATGCAGTAGGGATACAAGAGGTAGGATCAAGCAATAGCATTCGTACGATACGTATGACAACGCAGTGGCAGACCTTTATCCAGACGCATTCCACTAGCCCTGGATATACGTGCGGAACAAATTCGCCAGTTCAAAGAAACTGGCCTTGTAAAAACGCTCTTGCGTAGTCAAGTTGACATACTACAACGATGTCAGTAAAAGCTTATCTTTACAGAAGAAAAGAATACCCACCTGTATTCCAAACCTAACAGTATACCCAGCCCTCCATTCGAAATTATCAGCCATACTCCAAGCCGAGCACCCCACAAGTTTAACCCCTTCTTGAACAGCCATCAACATCGCCTGCACATAATCATGATAATAGAGCGTCCTCAGAGGATCCGTCAATATATCCTCGCGCAGAGTCTTGTACGCCTCAAACGGCTCCGCAAATCCAAACTCAGCAATGGCTATACCGTTCACGGGATTCCACGTGTCCTGAATATAGTGCAAAAACCTAGGCAGCCAATCAGTAGCCTTATGAAGCCAGACCGAGCCAGGGTCGGACGCTGGGCCAATAAGCCAACCACCTTCGGATTCAGGCAACGTGTAAGAGGTGTTATAGCATGAAGGGTACAGGCTGTTGTTGGGGTCAGCTAGACACCCCTCGATCCCTGCATCGGGCGCCATGTGATATGCAGCCGTGTAGGCGTCGTGAACGAAGTAATCGCTTGCTCCCCTGATCATGTCCCGCTCTTCGGCAGTGAACTCGGGTAAGAAGGTCGATGTGAAGTTCTTCACACGGGCTGGGTAGTCGCCTAGGAATAGGGGGTCTGCGATCCACCCTTCGTTGAATGCCCAGGCGCGCTCAACGGCTTCTGCGTCCTCTGGGGAGGCGGTTCGAGGGAGCTTGTAGCCGCCGTTGTTCTTGATGCTGATTGGGGCAGTGATGTTCATCGAACGTGCAAGCTGGTATGTTTTGCCGGCGGCAATGAGCATATAGTGTCCGCACCAGAAGGGTTGTTGGACGCCTGGGATGTTGGTAGGAGGGAAATATCCATCTGGTATTGGATAATCATAGCAGAATGAGTGCGGCTCGTTGAAACTATACCATTGCCAGACTTTGTCGCCCCATCGCTCTAAGAGGACCTGGGCGTAGGCGACGAAGTCGTCGACGATCCTTTCGTTCAGCCAGCCTCCGTAGGAGAGCTGAAGGTATAAGGGAAGGTCCCAGTGGTACATTGTCACTTGGGGTTTGATGCCGTATTGCAGGCAGGTGTCGATTACGTCGTCGTAGTACTGTAGGCCTGCTTCGTTGATGGGGCCGTTGCCGAAGGGGAAAATCCTGGACCAGGAGATCGAGAAAGAGTATGTTGGTACGCCCATCGCAGCGAGGCGTTGGATGTCTGGAGTATTGACATACTGGTAAGATTGGGTTTTCTGGGTATGGGGAATGGGGATGTTACCTTGTTTGTACATGTAGTACCCGTTGATCGCGACATCTCCTGTCTGGTTATCGGCAATGTTCAAGACCCGGTGGCTAAATGCATCCCATAGGCTAGGGCCCCGGCCATCTGCTTTGACGGCTCCTTCGATCTGATAAGAAGCGCTGGAGACGCCCCACCAGAACCCCGGGGGAAATGACCAGCTGTCATTTCTTCCTTGTCCCGCGACCTGGGCTCCCGGTAGGTATGAGGGATAGTAGAGCGGGGGAGGTGGAATTAACTCAGCAGATGGGATTGGGGTGGGTTCAACGGTGGTGTTGATGGATGTATTCTGGACGGGGCCAATGTATAGATTCCAAAGATCTGGAGCATCTGTTAGATGTATTTGTATCCTCTACATAGTTGTGCAGTGTATAGTTTCCACCTTCTACGGTGATGTTCAAGGTGGTTACCAGAGGGGATGCAGCTGTGGAACTGGCAGTACTGGACTGTGCAGCTGCATTACTAGCAAGCAGCAGCCCTAGGCAGAGGACGTGAGGATGCATTGTAAGATTCAGCAGAGATGTGAAGGTATATCCTTCTTGGTCTAATGCTCAAAAGATAGGTCCGCGTTTACGAAAAGCTGGTTTTTATATAGCTATGCTGTTCGACTTCTGCGTTCGGCTCAATCAGCCGGAATATGTATAGCGACGACAAGCGGGGAAAAAACATCCAGTTCGTTTCCGGCATCTTCGCACACAGACTTATATAGATGGAGGATCTTCATCGGGGGGAGCAATGGTAAAGCATCTATTTCTAGTAGCCAAGTATCTTGAAGAGAAAACTACCCCTTCTCATTGATGCGGTTAATTATCGGACGTCAATCTGCTGCCCTCCCTTGGTACTCTGCGGGGGTGGCTATGCCGCCATTTGTTCAGCCAAGAAGAGGAGAGTATTGTTAGTTATTGCAAACACTTGAATCTCCAGAGATATCAGAGAGAGAGGTTGAAAAGGAGGAGGTAACAAAGTCAAAGGAGGACGGGGGGGAATAGGGGAAGAGGGGAGAAGAGAATGAGGCGGAAAAGCAGAGGGCGCGGCTCTTTTCTCTCTTCTGGATGCAGCCAAGCCATCTTCCTCGTCCTCCTTCACGCCCCCCTTCATTCCATTACCCACAACTGCACCCCAGCAATGCTGTCAAAGGTGGGACAGACCATCCAACTGCGACATTGGAATTCGCCGCCTTGATAAAAGATCATCCAACATGGGCTTATCTATAGAACAACCCAGACTCCTCTTCGAGTGGCTGATAACTTCATACCTGGGCTGATTTTGTGTCTAGCAAAATGTGGGAAATTACGCAAGCTGAGTCTCCCAGCTCTTGTCGTCCTCCTTGCTTCAATTCTATGACCGTTACAATGCTTTGAGTCACTGAAGACAATGGAGAACTAATAGCAACCGCATCCGATTACCGATCTGGTCCAGATCCGCAGATGATGACCTCACCATGATCCACGGAAACTATCGACGACATCAAGCTTAAACCATGGTTCATTCAGGGTCTTCTCCCACACCTTCTTCCATGATCCGAACTTATCTCATCACTTGATGCATGCTTATTCGATCCCACGATCGGCATCTCGGTCGTCATGTTGTCCGATCCATACTTCACTCTGCTGGTCGAAAGCTAGAGCTCGGTGGTGAAGTTGCATCGGTCTTAAGCAAGCTCCGACAATGCCGGTACTTAACGCGGAATGTAGAGTGTAGAGAGATAAGGGCACACAGAAGCCCATTGCATTCGCTCATCCCCCTGTTGTGTCTCTTGACTTCTGTTTCAAGCCGACATCGGGTATTGTCTCCGCCGTTACTTTACTGATTGATATGTTATATTTCGGTAGCTAGTGTCGCATCACTATCAACATGGACTCGGGACGCTCCCCTCCCAGCGAGCCACGCTTTGTTCCCGAAGAAGACGAGAAAAAAGCACCACTGGATTCTTCTTCAGTTTCGAGCTCAAGCGCGTCGCGTAGCTCGGGCCTTTCGAGAAAGCAATCGGCTATTCCTGTTGAGCATCAAGTCTCGAATGAAAATGTGATCCGACAGGAGTCCTCACTTCAGAGGCAGCTCACGCAACAGGATATTGCTCGCGCCCTTTCTCAACGACGCAGCACTGGGGCCGCGGGGGCCGATGATACGGATCAGATAGCGAGGTTGGTTTCGCGGATGTTTGGCCAGGAAAGAAAGGCCAACTCAGAAGAGGAAAAGACAAGACATCTTGGTGTGGTGTGGAAAAACCTGACTGTCAGAGGTGTTGGTCTAGGGGCGGCTCTCCAGCCCACAAATACTGACATCCTCTTGGGTTTACCGAGATTGATTAAAGGCCTACTCACTGGCGGAAGGAAGAGCGCACCACTGCGAACCATCCTGGATGACTTCAACGGATGTGTACGGCCGGGGGAAATGCTTCTGGTTCTTGGCCGTCCGGGGTCCGGGTGCTCTACGTTTCTAAAAGTCATTGGGAATCAACGATCAGGCTACAAAAGCGTGGAAGGTGATGTTCGCTACGGAGGTGCAGACGCCGAAACAATGGCCAAAAACTACCGTTCGGAAGTTCTGTACAACCCCGAAGACGACCTCCACTATCCCACGCTCACCGTACGCGACACCTTGATGTTTGCTCTCAAGTCAAGAACCCCGGACAAAGCATCACGACTGCCTGGTGAAAGTAGAAAGCACTACCAGGAGACATTCCTTTCTACCATCGCCAAGTTGTTCTGGATAGAGCATGCACTTGGGACCAAGGTCGGCAATGAACTTATTCGCGGTGTTTCTGGGGGAGAGAAGAAGCGTGTGTCTATTGGGGAAGCCCTTATCACGAAAGCCAGCACGCAATGCTGGGATAATTCCACCAAAGGCCTCGATGCTAGCACGGCTCTGGAGTACGTGGAAAGCTTGAGAAGCTCAACAGACATGGCACATGCCTCTACACTTGTGGCTCTCTACCAAGCCTCTGAAAATCTCTACAATCTCTTTGATAAAGTCATTCTGATCGAGGAAGGCAAATGTGCCTACTACGGGCGCACCGAAAATGCAAAGGCATACTTCGAGCGTCTGGGGTTTGTGTGCCCTCCTCGATGGACCACACCTGATTTCTTGACGTCTGTCAGTGACCCGTACGCGCGACGTATCAAGGAAGGCTGGGAGGATCGAGTTCCGCGTTCCGGAGAGGACTTTCAGAGAGCGTATCGAAAGAGTGAAATATACAAGGAAGCCAAGGCCGATATCGAAAATTTTGAAAAAGAGATCGAGTCGGAGCAGCAGGCATGTGAGCAAGCCAGGGAAAAGAGAAAAAAGCAAAACTATACGGTGTCTTTCTATAAACAGGTTGTTATACTGACTCAACGGCAATTCCTCGTCATGTACGGGGACAAGCAAACGCTCATCGGGAAATGGGTGATGCTCACGTTCCAGGCTCTCATCATCGGTAGTCTCTTCTATGACCTGCCCCAGACAAGGTTCGTCCCAATGACCCATCATCCACGCCAATCAACAAGTGATCTGACAACTTTCATAGCGCTGGTGTCTTTACCAGAGGCGGTGTCATGTTTTACGTATTACTATTCAATTCCCTGCTGGCCATGGCAGAGCTTACGGCTCTTTATGGAAGTCGACCGGTCATATTGAAACATAAGAGTTTGTCAGTGGGACATGGCATACATATGTTTGCAGTAAGCTAACTTTACCAGCTCCTTCTATCGTCCAGCGGCATATGCCTTAGCTCAAGTGGTCGTCGATGTTCCCATTGTATTCGTTCAGATCACCATTTTCGAGCTGATCGTATACTTGTATGCAACTCTACCGCATCAATTACTGAATGAGGCTAACCAATGTATTTAGTATGTCTAACCTTTCGCGGACTGCGTCTCAATTTTTCATCAACTTCTTATTCGTTTTTATCCTGACCATGACCATGTACTCATTCTTCCGGACCATCGGAGCACTGAGTGCTTCTCTCGACGTTGGTATGTAAACCTGTAGGCTGTTCTTTACGTGAGCTGACCGAGATTGTAGCCACCCGTGTAACTGGAGTCTCTGTCCAGGCGCTGATAGTATACACCGGTAAGAGATATCAGCCATCTAATGGATATTCTTACTGAAGATACCCAGGATATCTCATTCCTCCCTGGAAAATGCACCCGTGGCTCAAATGGTTAATCTGGATCAATCCATTGCAGTACGCGTTTGAGGCGATCATGTCAAATGAATTCTATGATTTGAATCTGCAGTGTGTCCCCCCCTCCATATTCCCTGATGGACCCAGTGCACAGCCTGGCAACCAAGTCTGTGCGATCGAAGGAAGTACGCCAAATCAACTCGTTGTGCAGGGATCAAACTACATACAGACTGCCTTCACTTACAGTCGATCCCATTTATGGCGAAACTTCGGTATTGTCATAGCTTGGTTTATCCTTTTTGTATGCTTGACAATGGTCGGAATGGAGCTCCAGAAGCCCAATAAAGGAGGCAGCACGGTTACAATCTTCAAAAAGGGCGAGGCGCCCGAGGCTGTGCAGGAGGCTGTCAAAAACAAAGAACTTCCAGGGGATGTGGAAACGGGAAGTGATGGAACAGGAACCACCAACGGGTTCCAAGAGAAGGATACAGACGGTTCCAGTGATGAGGTGCATGGGATCGCGCGAAGCACGTCGATATTCACCTGGCAGGGTGTGAACTACACGATTCCTTACAAAGATGGCCACAGAAAGCTACTGCAAGACGTTCAAGGATATGTCAAGCCGGGCCGTCTTACTGCGCTAATGGGCGCCTCTGGGGCTGGGTAAGTGACGGTTCCCTAAGGTCTGTAGACAAGCACTAATTATTGTTCAGCAAGACCACGCTTCTCAATACTCTCGCCCAGCGGATAAATTTTGGCGTCGTCACAGGTACCTTTCTTGTTGACGGAAAGTGAGTATCAGCTTGAAGACTGCTTCTCCAACAGCTGCTTACAATTGCAGGCCTCTTCCTAAGAGTTTCCAGAGAGCAACTGGTTTTGCGGAGCAAATGGATATTCACGAACCTACAGCAACTGTCAGAGAATCGCTCCAGTTCTCAGCCCTCCTTCGTCAGCCAAAGGAGGTACCTATCAAGGAGAAGTACGAATATTGCGAAAAGATAATCGATCTCCTTGAGATGCGGCCAATTGCAGGTGCTATAGTCGGCGAG